CCTACCTTCAACCCTCCCTTGTCCCTTGTTCCTTGATATCTAACCATGCCGCAGCTTGACCTTGGGGACTAACATCTCAGCAGATCTGTGACAAAAATCCAGCATCATCACCTCCCAGCATTTTTGTCTGGTCACCTTGCTTCACCCTCAACTCCCTGATCCCTGCTCTTCTGTCCAAACACAGGCGGGGGGTGGGGGGCTAACTATGTGTCTCTTCTGTGCAGTATTACTGTGCCACAGCCCACTAATGATTTGTCATAATTTTCAAACATTGTGTTTCAAATTTACAATTATATGCTTTGCGATATTTGACCTGCTTCTATTTTGTTAAATAAAGTGTGGTTGAGGTTGAGTAAAAAACAATTTGCTTTTAGGAATTTTTCATTGAATTTGGAATGTAAGGAGTTTGATTAGTCATCTTTTTACATTAAGGAGGTCATTAACAAAACCTCTCCAGTGGAGTTTTTGGCCACATATTTTCTGGAAAAGGGCTATACCACATCTAGACCTAAATCAATTTATAAAGTGATTGTTGACATATAACTGAAGGTAAATATGTCAACAATCTTGATTGATTATTGCAGAGCCCGTTATTGATCAATTATTAGCATTATCTAAATGCAGGTTACTAAGTTGTGCTAATAAGTGATTAGAAATTGAGACGCCAAGACCCTTTTATGTCATGCAAACATTTACAAAACTCTAAGCACCTCAAAATGGTTTACCACTGCTGATAACCACATTGCTACTGAATAGAAACGCACAGCCTTGTTATTGCCAAAACATTTGTTAAACAGGTGCATAAGTCTTTACTAAAACAGCAAGGTGCCAACTTTGTAACATAAAACTGTTAGTAACATTATTAATCTCTCTCTGTTTGTTCTATTTTAGTTAAGTTTTGCATGCACATCAAAAACTACACACATAACATGGTAAATGTGTACATCATAACAAGGCTGCAGTTGTAAGTGTTAATAAGCAGGTTATGAATGTATTCCGGTCCAGATGTCCTGCTGCCTTTTAAAGAAGATTAGTGGCAAAGCACTCCACTGAAGAGTCTCTCTAATGAATTACTGAGCTAAAAAGACAAGAAAAGTGTCGTGGATTGATAGGAACAATAACAGAACACTATTTCTTTCTCAGTTTATTCCTACTGCTGTTATCCACTCTATAAACATATGGAGTCCTATTACATACAATATAATGGATAAATGCAAACACACTGTGCAGCAGAGTGATATATTGTATATGATACTGGATAACACCTCTTGTAAACGTCACACATCTTCTGTGTGAACCCATTAGGTGCTCCTATGTGCTGTAGTCATCTGTGACTCAGTCTAACAGTAGGACCCATTCATTAATGCAATGGATAATAGCTGCTGGCAAACACAGTGGAGTGGAGTAGCCTCTTTAACATGCTGGGCACACAGCACTCCAACACTGCTGTGGCCCAGCAGGCCTGCAGTAGATCGTGTGTTCATCCCCCAAAGGAGCTGGCAGTTGATGCAACACTTCCAGCAGGGATAACATTATCTGCACACCTCATAACACTCCGCTTTGGTGTAAATCTCAGCGGTCTCGCTTTGGTTCAAGTCAGGGCCATTTAATCCTGAGAATAGTTTGCGTATGTGTACCTGGAAGATCTTTCACTTTGCAGTTACAACTTCTCTCTGTCACAAACAATAACAAAAATAAAAACAGTATACCTGTGGCTGGTTTGGCTGGTTAGAGCTTCACTGTTAACAACTGCAGAAAAAAAAAAATCACACTGAAGGTGATGGTGTGTCATTCAGCATATCTGTCACTTTACTTATCATGTCTCTCATTCATGCCATGTTCCAATAGGCAGTATGATAATAGGGGGGCTAAAACACCTGTCCTTCCTTTAATTTAGGCTAATGCATCAGTGTCTAGCTTTTATCTGACTCCTAATGGTGAGATTCAATGTGTCACCTTTTGTTTAGGTCTTGTGAAAAAAGAGAGCTCGGGTATTAGCCTTTGAAGTTGGCCTTGATGAAAGTGTTGCACTGAAAAGTTGCCATTAGTCCTTCACTTTCAAATACTGCTGGTATTAGCCCTTGGGAGTGTGTACCATCGATTATCTGGCATTGTCCCCAGGGATTTCTTGGTGTTATTCACAGATATTATTATTATTAGCCCATCCACTGCGAGCCTATAGGTCTCAGTGGCTGGGTTTTATTAGTGCTTATGTCCTTTGTGAATCACAATAGTTATGAAATGCCCCCTGTTCTTTAATGTTGTGCTTGGAGTCAGTGCTAGAAACTAGTGCTGAATGCTCTCCAGTGTGAGTGTTTTACATGAATGGAAACACAGCAGCGTGACAAGCATGCAATAGTTTGTGTAATCATTTTGCTTGTTAATGTACCTTTCAATATGCAAACATTCTAAAAACAGGTCTCAAATATAATTATATCGATAAAGCAAATCCTTAGATGGTAAAAATGGGTGGATTTTGCCTCCAGGCTTGCTCCGTGTACAATAAAATCACTCTAGGTCATTTTAGAAGTGACTAATCAGTCTTTAACTAAAGTTGGGGCAGGATGGAGCTTTAGATCACAGCCTGACTGCACTAAAGCAGCAATGCATGAAATAACTCCAGTGTACAGTTGCATACATTTGAATCAGGGGCGTGCTCTAGGAGGTCAAATGCAGGAAGGTAAATCAATCATACTGCAAGAAGTTCAAATATTTCAGACCTCACTTTACTCGCATGTCTGCCAGACAGACTGTAGAGCAAACACCCTCAGTAATTAAAAGGATCTTAGCTCATAATTGACCCAGATCTAGTGTCAACCCACTGCACACTGGCCTACGCCAAACCACCAAGTGAAGCCTTTAATCAACATGAGTGAATGGCCTACCGAGTGTTTCCTCCAGCTCTAAAGTTCTTCCAGCCCTCACTTATTGATTATCTCATTGATTTGATTTAGCAGCCACATGCACCCATGCCTCACTGGCATTCCAAGCACTATATGGCTCTACCTGCCCTGATTACACTGCTCAAATGGAAGCTACAATCGCAAACCAAAATGGAGCTTGTTTGCAGTCAAAGTAAGGCTGTGTGAGATTTGTTCAGGGAGAAAAGTAAGGGGCTACATCAGAGTTTTCATTTATCCATGATTACAACACATATCACCCTGCACATGCAGTTGGGTGGGATGAATGGTCATACATGTACTCAATGGCTCAGCACAAGAAATTTTAATTTCCTGAAGCTATCTTGGTCTGAACCCAAGGAAACCTGCCCTTATTGCTTTTTATAATTATGTGGGCAGTCAGAGACCAACTTGTATGTGAGCCAGAGGGAGTTCAGCCTAGTGAGCGCTCAGTAAAAGCCTTTTCCAGTTTAACAAATAGTATATAGCTGCTCTTTTTACACTGATATATTTGTATATCCACGGCTCTCCACCCTTGTGGGAGAAGTGACAAAACTGTGATGCTCTTGGTAAATGTTGTGGATTGCAGAGGCTGAACACATGCTGATGGTACTTCTACAAGTAGAAAACCCAAACTCTGGTAACCAACAAGGTCAAGGACAGATCTGTCTTGCTTTCTCCTTTCGCCTCATGTATGAATACAGGTTCCAGGAAACTCAGCACATAAACTGTTAAGGGCTGTTTCAGGTCAATGCAGTTTGTTCTTACTGTGATTATGTGCACTAGCACACATATTAACATAACAATAATACTCCACAAAGCTCTTGTTAATGAAGAATTTCTTATTAAACTTCAATAACACAAATCCAAGAATATGTATGTTGGATCCTGGAGGGGCAGAGCTGTATAAAAACCATTCAGATAGATATGTTGCACATTTTTTATTGTATAGGGGTCTCTGAGACCCCCAAAACTAGCAATGCATCATTTTCATCAGTTCAAGTTTAGGGGTTACAGTCCTTACAGAATCAGGTGCTAAAACAATGTCCCATACATTTTCATGGGCAGTTAAAGGGAGCTCGGCTTTAACAAACAACATGGGCATAGTTCAGAAACGGATAAAAATTTCAACCTTTATATCTGTAATTTTAAATCAATACTTTGCTGGTTAGCTGCACAAAAATGCACGTTGTCTCATGAACTAATTCAAAGTTTCATGAATTGCAAAGTAGTGCAATTACAACTGACAGACATGTTGGATCCTTTGTTACAAAAGCAGTGTCATTTCAAGGACTTTATTTTAATGAGTAATTTGTTTCCAAAAGGGCAACTATGAAGTGTTTTAGAATAACCTTTCAGAGAAGCTAATTACAGTGAGCTTGATTAATCTTAGCAGACACTAAATGCATTATTTCCAAAACAAGATACTGAACCTTTTTGCTGCACTTTTTAAAATTCAAATTGCACAAATCCCACAATCTACCAGATTAAAATGCTCAGTAGCTTCAGCTACTTGGTGGTAACTTTGAACTCCATGTTATTGAAATATCAGCCCAAAGCAGAATGAAAACATCAAAGATGAAACTGATTTGCATTGCCACATACGGTGCTGTGCAGCAAGAGCTTCCCTATCATTAGGCAGACACATGGCAGGCCTTGATATGTCAATGTACAGTGTCCACATAGTATATGATACACGTTGACCAGTGCCCATATGTTCACTTAATGGACACATATGGGCTCAAAGTCTGGAGATGCATACACACTGAGCCTATTAAAGTCAATTGTACATCAATGGCATCAATGGCAACTATATGTTAGGCTTTATGAGTAGTGAATGAAACAACACCTTAGCTACTGTTGCATAAGCCGACTTTCTTGGCATGTAGGTGCTTTAGAAACAAGCTAGTGAATGAAGTGTTCTACTGGAAGCAGATTTTTATGGAACCAACACCTGAATGGCACACTGACAATGTCATCTCTATTAAAAATTTCCCTTACTATATTGTCTGCTCTCCTTCTGGCTCAATCTGACACCAGTTAGATGGATATGTTTAGGTTTTCACTGCTTTTTCATTCACAAATCGATTGGTCCTTGAAGACAAGGCTGGGGGTCGACTGACTTCCCTTACACCCACTCTATTTAGCCTGACAGTTTGAGGCAGCTCACAACTAACATATTATCCCCATCAATAACAACAGCCCAAAAGAACTACTGACACCATTTACCACCAACTGTTCCTGTTTGTTATGGGTATGAATAGCCGTGTTTTTATATCTTTGTGCATGTATGAAAAAGAGAAAATGTGCGAATTTGCTTCCCCTGGTTGCTGCCACTGCTTTCCAAGAAAAGTTTTGCTTTCCCATCTTCTTATTGCCCGGAGGACTTTTTTTTTTTATTTTGAACACAGGAGCATGTTCACTCACTGCCTCTTTCATATTTAGTTTTAGACAGAATGTTGAGCTGTGGCTTCCCACCCCAGGCTATGAAGCGCTGGTATTGCGCTCATGCATAGAAGATAAAGGACTAAACACAAAATCGTGAGACAAGAAACTGGGCAATTGTTTCAGAAAATGTTACTGGCAATTAGTCCATTGTTGTGGAACTTATTTTATGGCTATATCTTGCTGCCAACTGCTTTTTGGCTATTTTAGCTGTTAACTAACTTAAAAACAAAGTTCCTCATTAGAATTAACAGATGTGGTTTACCTGTGACCTAATCCCCTCAGTGCACAAGCACACACAAAAACACAAACACAAATATTCACTTTGCCTCCCTCTCTTCTCATAAACACACACATGCACATAACCAAATACAAATGCATGCTGGGTAAATGTTTCCTTTAACCTGGTGTACTACAACCGCTCAGCAAATGCCAGCTGGGTCAACAGATGCCCTGGGCTTTCTAGGTTGCTCCCATAACAAAGAACACTGGAGCTGTCGCTTCATCTATGCACACACAAACACACATGCACACACACATGCATAACCACATGCCTTCATGTTTTGGGCTGCAGTGACAGCAATCTCCAAGCAGATTAAGAGGTTTTATCTTGCTTTGTGTTTGGGACACTGAAATTGCAGCAGGCAGAGGGGTGGCAGGTGCAAGTGAGTGGGCTTTAGCATGCGGCTCTGCTGCACTTAAACCTACATGATTAAAAAATGCATGACACAGAACAAAACCAACGCTGCAATCAATGCTGCAACATGTAATATGAGCACAGTAGAGACAGTCTACAGGAAAAAACACTTAAATATCAAAAGGCACACAAGAAAATGTTTCCTTTTAAGAGATAAACATGCAGTATTTATACATTTACACAGTGGAGGCTTTCCAAGTTTGAAAGACCCAAGGCTGCAAAGCTCAGTTCACAAAAAATAGAAATATCACATTTTTAAAATTGCTGTCATTTTTCTTTCTGTTTTGTAGCTCTATAAGATGTAATTTGCTATCGCTGATGTGCGGCAGATTGGTATGCCTGCCTCTTTTCTAATGGATTTACTCTTTGTGTATGACAACTACATTAAAAAAAAAATTACTGGCTTTGTCCCAGATCTACTTATCAACCCAGTCCTTGTTTTGAGTCATTCTTCAGTTGGGACGCCTTCCAAAATGATCACGACAAGCCATACTGGTAAAACAGTTCCACTATGAGATGAGACACCACCTGTGACTCATATCATCAGAAGCCAGCAGTGGGAAGGAAACCACATATTAAGGCCTATGGCAAGGATAGAGAGAGCCAGGTCTTAATGTCTGATGTTGTGTTCCCTCCCTCTGTTCAGATTTGTTTTCAAGCTCAATATAAGGTGTTATGGGAAGCACACAATGCTAAATTAGCCACTGAAAAAGCTCAGGTTGAAGGGATAGGCGGAGGTAAATTGGATTTAAGACAGTAACTTTTAAAATACGTATTATTTGCTTACGATATTTTACATTTTGCTCAGTACTACACTCGTATTTGAAGGATATTCCTTCTACTCAAATACAGTAATTATAATAACAAACAATATAATCTTTGTCTGTTCTCCATTTACACTGTCGATAAAGTTCTAACAAAAAACGTGACATGTCTGACAGCAGCTGTGGTTATTGTTCTGGTGAGCTGAGCCAGCCAGAGATTGTGTTTAACAAATACGAGCAATAGGAGAAGCCCATTGAGAATAGCTGTCGCGAGTTCTGATTGAGGCACAGGAAGGCCTTGTGGGGGTGGGGAAATGAGACTAGATTGTATTCACTCATGGAGGACAGGAATGAGAAGAATGTATAGATGGTGAATGAGAATGAGGGTGGGAATGCAAGGGTAAAAATGGACCAATATAGAGTTCATTTTCAAAGCTCTTCATACTGTATATCATTCTAATGTCCCCCCTTATTTTTCATTCCCTCCCCCCTTATTTTTCATTCCAGTGCCGTGGCAGGAAGCCATATCATATATGAGGCACAGGAACATCAGCTCAGCACTAAGAGTCAGAATATTTATCTCACTGTGAGAAACATAAAAACAATAGCAGATTTGATGGCTAATATAAAGCTGCAGTGTATTTGTTCTTGCAATAGACTTTTTTTTCCTTTATCTTTCATTGATGGCAGAAATCCTCTTCTAACCTAACAGTCCTTTTGGTACACTTGTGAAAAGATCATGAAAAAGATCGTGCATAAGGCTGACAAAAAAGAGAGGAAAAACTCAGTGTTCACATACGGTATATGTACTACATATACAGAAGCCCCTCTGTACTGTGATGGTTCAGTTACTGTTATATGCACTGAAGTGCATGTGATGTGATGTGATGTGATGTGATGTGATGTGATGTGATGTGACTGCTTAAAACAGGTGAACAAACTACACACTCAGTAAGTACATAGTAAATCTAAAATGAAATGAACAAAGAGCTTTGTAATTTCCACTTATTTGTGACTGAAACTTTTTAAAATAAGGCAAATTATCTGGGTTGAGCAACATATTTTTAAAATTATAATAGTTTTTTTTTAAATTATAGATATGACTACCAAGAGTGCAGGACTGTATTTGAAGTTTACTGTCCTACAGTAAGTGCCAGGTTTAAGCCACAAACTACTGAATTAATTACCAATTCATCTTTGAGCTTACAGTAAACCATTGCACTATATAGTATAAACCTACAGTGTGCACACATACCACGTCCATACATGCCAACAGCAGTGCACACAACATCACATTCAGCCTTAGCTAATAATATAAAAACTACAGAACTGTGCAAAGTGTGACAACACTGCAGAATGCAATGTAAAACTGTCACACCAGTAGCAATGCAGAAAGACATCCAATCAAACTTATGTCTATTGCCTCAGTGCATGCTGGGACATTTCCTTTCATGCCTACCTAAAGACACTACAAATGAAATTAATATAATCTATAAGTTTTAGGATGACTCCAATAAACATTTGCCCACCAGAAACTTAATTTAATTAAAACATATAACAGCTGAAATGAATCATCGATGACTATGACTACAAGAATAAATGCATAATTTAGGATGTTGGAATTATAAAATATACATTACATGAATAACAAAACTGTTATACTGTTTTGCTGGACTGCCAGCTGGTGGATTTGCCACCTGTGTTGACGTCCACATTTTTCTGATGCCAGGTTTGTACACAGAAACACACAACTGCAATTACTACTCAGACACTGATGTGAACATCTGAATATTTTTCCCAGCTGGTAATCCATTTTTACAATTATCCCAAAGTGCATAAATGCAGCATAATGTATAGTGCTACTGGTTTCAAGTGGTGGATGCTTCAACCTTGAACAGAAGTCTGTTGGAAATGTGTGAGGTGCAGCACTTCTAGTATGAGTCACTGTGGTGCTTACCATAATATTCACCGAGATGGACAGCAGGATGGGTGCTGATTACCACGGAGCACATCCTCTGTCCCATGTCGACTCCATGCAGAAAAAAACATAAAGAGGGAAGGAGGGGGGAGAGAGGAAGTCAATCCATAAGCTGTCACTGTCTCTCCCTTGATGGCTGGATGATGGATGAACGCATCTTTTCTAACAATACCAAAAACTACCTGTGTGGGAGGCCTTTTGTACAGGGGCAAGGTAAGAACTCTCTGTGTGGCTGTGTGCATGTGTGTGTGTGTGTGTGTGAGGCTGGGCAATTATCATCCTTTTGTCACAGTTTTTTTGGAGGTGAGCAATGCACTGATGTTTGGGTATAAAGGCAGAAAGAAATTCAATGGAATCTGTGATTATTCTTTTGTTTTAGACAGTGTTACCTCCTTTTAACCAGACTTCTGTATTTGGTCTGTACACCCTAAACTGTTGTGCAATTCACATGCCTTACAAATGATCTGTCTCCATTTGTGTGATCTCTACACTATCCACACTCGCTGATGCAGTGCATCACAAATCAGAAAATCACGCCACAAAAATCAGAGATGATGAAAGCTTTCAGCGCTGCACAGTTGGCAGAGAGGATGGAAGGGAAGGGAGGGCAGGCTGCTGCCTCCCACTCCTTCTCTTGTTCAGTCTTTGGGGCTTTCACTGGGTCTGGAGGCTTCGTCTCTTTCTCCTCTCTTTCTGTCTTCAATTCTGACTCTCTCACTTGCTCTGTTGCTTGTCCTCTTTCTCTCTCACCCACTCTTTATCCCTCCCTATCTGCTTCTTGGTCTCTCCCAGGGGCTTAATTTATGGTTGTGGAGCTACAGAAACATAGGGATGACAACCCACGCTCTCCTCTGCTTTATTAGCTAGCTAGCTTGTTGGCTGGCTCGCTGACTGGCTGGGCGTACACAGTGTGTGTTCATATGTATGTACTGCATGTCTCTAAGCACAAATGTTTTTCCTTTGTGCCTTTTTTCAGTCTTGTTTTTTTTATTTTCAGACCTGGAGCTGGTTGCATGTTTCTTGTTACAACTGTAGTAAATGCCAGCCCATTTCCTGTACGGGCTGCTTGATAACCATACCAGTAATAGATTGTTCATAGAAGGTTTTGGACCTGTGTATTTTTTGTCTTTGTTGCTGTGTTCAGTATAGGGGCTTTCAAATGAGCATGGTGAAGTGTTTTATTTATTCTTCCCCCAACCTTTTCCTCCTAACAAAGCTGGTGAAACAGATGTCGGTGGAGGTCAACAGTAAGTGTTTTGCAAAGACATGCCTGTTTTTCAGTGATGCAATCAAATCTGAATTGAAGAATTTGATTTGATTTCAATCCCCAGTGTAACAAAACACTGTTCAAATGTTCCTCTCCGCTTGGAAATATGATTCATCACATTTTACTGTGACTTTAAAACTCAAACATTCACCAAATCTGCTTAATAAGAACAACAGCCATTAGATTCTGACTGAAAAGTTCCTCAGCTTTGCTGGTGTGTCAACTGAAAATACCAGCAGGATGAATATGTCACTACATCTAGTACATCTGCTCCTAATCTTCAGATTGTTCTTGGCTGAACCACCCATCATGGAATCTTATAGGTGCATGTGAAAGTAGCTCCTGCAGCAATAGAAGCCATGGGTGGCTGTCTCCTCTGTCCTTTTTTCTACATCTCCTGGTTGATGAAAACAATACAGGGAGAACACGCTGACAAAAATGGACTCAGGTCTCTGCAAAGCTTGGAGCTGGGGGCCTGGAATGATCAAGGAGACTTATGAAGTGACTCACGCTGCATTGCTGGAATGGCTTTGATGTCATACAGTCAGTCACACATCCCACTGCCAGATGTTATTGTATAAAAGGTTGTGGGTGTGCTGTATGAGCCCCATTAATGAATGAACACTTGCTAAGTATGACATGAAAGAAATGGAGTAAGCTGTCAAAGTGGAAGTTGACAAAAACAATGCGTGACAGAACAGAACATTGATGAAAATAAAAACAGGGCTATTTATTGTGCTGATTACAGATGTTTGTTGTGAGTTTAATCAGCTTGCCTGATTAAGGATTCACTATGAAATCTGCTTTGAATTGATTTTTTTTGTGTGTGTGTCGCATTTGCAGTGATTTTCAGGCTGGCATCGCTCATTGTAAGTGTATGTATTCACAGTTATTAATATCTACCTGTCGAGAGAATGTTTTCAGGAAATTTTTCACTGTGACCTCTTAGCTGCAGAGGGTTAAGAAAACCTGATGAACTAGACAAGGCAAGGTTTCCACACTGCCCTCTGCTCTGGTTTTTTTTTTGAAAGAGAGCACAAGGATAGCAGTTTGAGACCGAGTGATGGCGAGGAGCAAAATCTGAATTCAGGATGAGTGTCAGGTTAATATTCTCCTGCTCTCTGCCGTGACTATAATTCATTCTCGAATCGCAGCACGATAAGAGACATGAAAGCCTTTTCCTTCCCTCTTCTCTGTTCTCATCAGTCGAAGCCTTGCACACATCCTCTCGATTACCATCGCTCATCTTTTCTCTTTTGTTTCTCCCCTCATGTCCCCATTCAATCCATTTTCATTTCCCCCCCAGTTCTCTTCACAGCTGCTTTCATTTCAACCCAATCTCTCAATCTCCCCCAACCCCTATTCTCCACCCCCCCAGTCTTTTCACCAGCTCTCTGACAAGCTCGGTCCTCCACCTGTCTGTCATCCTTCTCCCCTTTCTTTCAACCTTCTGTTTTTTATTTTCCATCTGACTGCTCCCATCCCAGACTTTCTACTCTTTTATTGGTATATTTGGCCTGGTTATCTCTCTCCTGCTTTCTCAACATGCATTCACTTTCACTCTGTCAAACTCACTCTCTACCCTTCTCTCTCCATTCTTGGCAAAACCCTCTCTGGACCAATTAGGTTCTGCAGCTTGATGTCTATTCCAACCTCACACACTGAGGACGGCAGGACAGTTCAAGTGGTTCAAGGGCGGACGCAGACACAGACAGGATAGATTTAACAATGTGGCCTCAAAACATACTGGAGTGTGTTCAGAGGCTGTGAATCTCCATCCTTCCCTGAGTGGTTCACTGACTCACCAAAGAACTTTATCTATACACACCCTCAGGCACGGGGCCTCATTCATAATAATGTATTTCGGACTCAACTTTGCCAGTTCGTCCCAGGATTGTTTCCACAAAAACTGCTTGATTGTTCAATTCAAAACAATGTAAACAAGCTGCAAGCTCTCTGTATTAGAGGAATTGCCAAATGAAAAGGTCTGAGTTGAGAAAGCAGCCCTGACATAGCAGAAATGGTTGTTTGTTGCATGAAAAAAAAAACTCTCCGGGCATATTATAGAACACACCAGGGTACTGTCACATTTGTGCGTAGCTCGTTTCTCTGGCAATACAGGCACTGACACTAAGAAACATTTGTGCATAAGCCTTACACATAGTGTCAGACACTGAAGTTTTCCAAGTGACATTCAAGGCTTAAAAATAACAACTTTGAAAAAAACAAATGGCTGTGCGTGCACGCTGGTACGGTACCGCAGTCCTAAAAAAGAAAACAGTGATCTTACTTGTGAAAATGAAAAATAAATAACATTAAATGGAGACTTTCTAGCCAGTAATGAAACCCCACTGTCTGTAACAGATATTTAGACAAACATATCAAACATGTTTTTCTTACAAACTTGTGACATTTCTGAGAAACTGTCACAGAAACTCCCCAAAAAGCACCAGACTGACAGTTCAAGTAGTGAAGTTCTGTCTGTTACTGAGCTCTCTCTCTCTCCACAGCCAGACAACTACATAATGAACACAGATGACACACTACCTACCAAACCAAAATGTCAAAATCAGCTCACATTAGCAAGGAGGAAGCTGCATATCAATTGGGATTAGAAAGAAATATGAAGCGATTCAGAGATGTTTAATAGTTCTTAATTGCAGTGAAAAATGAAAGAACCAAAACAGGTATAGTCAAGATGTCAGAATGCTAAGAAAGGATGTGTTCAATTTAAACAAGCATTGTGAATTAGAAGAGCCATCAGTGGATTTACACTAAAAGCCTGCAGTTAGAGTGCAACCATTAGCAGATAAAGGAGGCTGGAAATGGGTGAGGTATGTGTTAGCTCTGTACTCCAGCACATTCGCTTCAACATGAAACAGTGTCTGTGAGGTTAAAGTCGAGTCTTTCAGCTTCAATTTGAGGGTGTTAATACCCACATTACTTGAACAATTGAGGATTAGTAGCTCTTTTATAAACTATTTCCCAATTTTACAGGGCAGAATGAACCTGGACAAGTTAACACGGTCATGCATCAGCTGACACTTGCAGCCATTGTTATTTTCTGCTTGGGAGCATTTTGCCCTCAGTCTCATCTTTAGCAAGTGAATTGGGATCAGGTGAGAACCTTCAGTTTGAAAATACTTACAAACAAGAAAAATACCTGCATTTAAATGTATAAAAATTAAATGGATCAAAATGAAAGGTGCTTAGTATGCAGAATGCCCCATCAGTGTTAAGTTATTGGATCATTATTAATGATATAGGAATATGTGAGTTATACTTTAAGTTTGGTTGGGGGTGAAACAAATTGTATCTGCTTCATGTAGTTTCATCTATAATAATGTATCATATTTTATAAGATGGTCCAATAAGTCAGCCTGTTTTGTTAGTAAAAGCTTAATCTGAAAAGCAACTAGTATAAATGATGAAAAAAAAAAAATCTGGTGGAGTTAAAATAATATTTGCCTCTGAAATGAACAGCAAATGACAAAATAGCCTGGAATAGAAATACATCAAATCTGTATTTAATTAAATATACTTTCCAGCTACACCGCCTAAAAATGAAATGCATTTACTGGGGACTGCTTTCAGCTTTGGATTAATACACATCCAGCATGCAGCAGGCTGTCGTATGTGGGATCGACTCAAATGAACTACATGTTTGGAATAATAAAGGAACATGTCATCCACTGCAAAGGTGTGGCTCATGGATGTGGTGGACTTTGGCTGTTGCATAGAATTGTTTGGCAATAAAAAAGGCACAGCAGAGTCATCGACCCAGCACGTTCTGACTGACTATTGTAGTGGAACATGTGTGTTGGTGTGTGTCAAAAGTATAATCCCACTCTCTGACACTTTTGTCTTCCCTAACATGTCTAAGCAAGAGCTTCTCATATCTGGCACAACATCAGAGGCATCTGTCTCT